CGTAAATCTAGCCGCGGCTCGCGAGGGGGAAACCTCGCGCTACCGTCGTGAGAATCCATTTTTCCGCCAGTTGCACTCTCCTTCCGGCTGTCCTCGATCAGATCCCTGCATACAAGAAATTACAACCTGCTTTTTTTTATTATTGCCTCTCTTTTTCCCGGACCGAAAGAGGGACACCTGCTATATATATCTTCTCTATTACATCCCAAGTGACTTAAAATCAATTACTATTTTTTAACTACTGCTTTTAATACTATTTTTTTATTCTCTCTTTCTCTCTCTCTCTCTCTCTTATAATATAAAATATACCAATCAATCTTTTATTAGAAAAACGTTTAAACTATATACAGGATGTTATAGAGAAATTTTGAAACATTCTTCAAAATCCCTGATATGAACGTCGGTTACATATTATGATTTCGATAAGGAGATCGAATGTAATCCATTATTGCAGGATAATATAATAATGAAATACATCTCCATAGTATTGAGCTGATAGGATATTACAAAAAACTATTTAAAAATGCCGATTTTAAGACAGAAATCTTTTAACAATTTAATAAAAAATAAAACAGGTGTTTAAGTAATAATTTTCACATATATAAATATACAATCTACATTATTAAATAATTTCATAACAGAGATCCACGTCGTTTTTCAACCGAGGAAAATCAATCACACGCGAAGAACAAATCAAGAATTTATACATCGCGTAAGAGATAAATAACGACTCTATGGGATAAATGACAGTACCGATCGTCGTCTCATTAACGATCCACGAGATATGTATCTCGATCGTTGCGGTTCGATCGTAGCGATCGATTTCGCGTGTACTCACGGAGTTGCTCGCGCGACATCACAGAGATGCGGTTGATGATCGCATAGTCGAGGATTGCGCGGAGCTCGTTTTGCAGGAACGATCGTGCCGGTAGCGAGGGAATGAACGAACACGGAACTGCATGCGTCGCGAACGACAGCCCGCGCGAGACTGCCGGCTCCCCGATGACGACGCATCGTCTTTGGCATTCGGCTTGGATGGGCAAAGTAGACGAATGGATAGGTAGATGATAGATGGATCGATGGGCAGACGCCGCGAGGCATGTAAAATACGCGGGGGCAATTTTTGTACCTTTAATCATGCCGAGTACTTCGTTGGATTCGATTAAGCTCCGAAATGATTTCTCCCGAAATAAAATTTATTCGAAATGGACGTCTTCAAATAGATTTGTGAAATCTCGCGATATAACAATAGCTGCATATTCAACACAGAAAAAGCAGCTTTATAACTGTTGTAGAGATTCTTTAATTGGTTTATATATTTAGAGGCAGAGAGAGAGAGAGAGAGAGAGAGAGAGAGAGAATGAATAAATGACTCTTCATTAGGTTTCTCTACTTTAAAATACAACTTATACAAATAATTTAATAATAAATAATCTAAATTTTAGAATAAGTAACATGAGAGAGAGCGAGAGAGAGAGAGAGAGATATATTAAGAGTAAGAATCTTATAACAGTTGTAAAACTGCTTTTTCTGCTGTACACAGCCGCTGACTTTTTTATCTTTTTTATTCGTGCCAATTTTGTTGTCCCGTTAACATATATGTTCGGTTATATTAGACAGATAAGATTAATCATTATGGAGAACGATTAATTTGCCTGCCATAAATTACAGTGAAAGAGTTAAATGTCACGCAATTTTCAAGAAAATTCCTGACGTAATATCAAATTATCATGTTATTTGATTTGTTTTTCTCTTTAATTCTCGACTTTAGTTCGCGTGCGGCTCATCTTCTATATAGCACGTATGATGATTTAATTGAGCTAATGGCACGTAAATGAAAAACATGCGTGAAGCGTTCGTTCATCAATTATACTCTTCCTAAAGTGTAATCAGACCTCCGTAGGTTGTATGATGTAATGCGCATTTCTGGACTAGGCCGTGACATTGCATAACGTATTAAATGCGTATCGTGATACACAAGTAGCGCAAGTTATCGATGTACTGGCAATATAATAACATACATACTACTACACATCGTCGTCTCATCGTAATTAGTTTCTTATGAGTAGTTACGTATCTATATTAATCTTTTCATAATTTTTATATGACGCAATTCGATACAGCAAGAAAATAATTGATTTACTCTCTGTTCAAAATTAATTCAGGTTTATTTAAAGTTGATATATACCTAAATCACACAAATTATTTAATTGAATTTTCTGTGTTTATAAATGTTAAAAAACCAATTTAAATTTTAATAATGGATTTTTCTACCATTTTGTAATCGATTTTTTAATTTAATTTAAAATATCGATGCAATAGATAATGAAATCTCAACGTTAATTTAAAGAAAAGTAACCCTGATTCTATAAAAATTTTAATTTTAAGTAATATGAGCTATATATAAGGATTCTCAGAATTCAATAAAATTATAACAAGACGAGGAGATTATGAAAATAAGACGCGATAATAAATGTGCGCAGATTAAATAATTTTATAAGTCAAACTTAATCAATCAGTCCTTTAATTAAGAATCTTATAATATTTTACTTGGCTCCAATATTTGACTCTTCATCAATAACAAAAAGAAAACAAAGATTAAAACGTTGAAAATTGCATGTCGTGTTTAATTTTAAGTTTGAAGATCAAGATATTCAATGTCGCGGAAAATGTGCCTCGGGAGAAAAGTCGATTGCAAAACGGTCGACAAATACACCTACAAGTTCAAGTCCACTGCCGCAATAACATCCCGTGTCTTCATAAATTTTCTCTTTTCCGCTTTGCCAAGGAGAGCATTGCCAACTCTGCTTGAAACCTTAGAGAAATACACCAGAGATTCGAATTCGCTGAAAATTCGAAGATTCATCCATTTTTATTATTTGTACTTGCCATGAGATGTTGAAATCGACAATTCATGTAAAAATTAAACATCGACATGTATACGGGAAGAATAATTCTGCTGAAATATTAAAAAAATTTAGATAGATACAGATCTGAAAATAATTTTGGACTGTTAAAATAATTATGTAGAACACTCAAACTGGTTGCTAGAATGTCAAAACTTTTTGTAGCATTGTTTATTATGCTTAAATTTCCTACATAATTATTTTGATTGTCCACAATTATTTTCAGATCTGTATCTACCTAAATTTTTAAATATTTAAGCAATATCGTTCTTTCCGTGTACACGGAAGAGGACAGGGTAGAAGAGACCAGACAAAGGGAGACAGACAACAAGCGGAGCGTTTGAAACGGTACGCATTTCGTCACGCCAGCGTGTGCACCACGTATACGTACGTAAATGCAGTCGTTCAAGAGGGATCGAGACAGAAGCAGGAGGAAGAAGAAGAGGAAAAGGAGAAGGCGACCGAGAGAGACGAGGAGGGCCTCGACGTCGTCGTCAACGCGTCGCGAGAGACCTTGGCGGTTCGAAGAGCGTTACCATTTTCGCGGGGCGTAGTAGCGGATTGACGCAGGTGTGGACCGATCACGCGGTGCCATAGGCCACACAGGGAACGCAAGTAGATACACGGCGCAGGGTGGGGCACGAAAGGGCGCGGGCGTTTTTGCACGGGGTGAAAAAAAAAAGAGGCCGAAGGTGTGGACAGAGTTCGATCGTAAGAATCAACCTCGAGCTGACGAATTGTGTGGAAAAGATTTATTATGATTTAATCGTGACGGTTGTCACGTTCGTTAAATATTGATTCGCATCGTTAGCTACTTGACGCTAAACGTCCAGATCCGTTCCTGACGTTCTTCAAATCATAGAACTTTTCTATTAAATTATTTTCTAGAACGATATACGTTTATTGTCGACAAAAAATTGTGACTCTCCGAAGTTCTTCAACTAATTAACAATGCTCCTTTGTGGATGTTACAGAAGTATATCATTATATTGACAAAGGTAAGGAGAATGCACAACATTTGTCATCATATTTGTGTTATTTCATTAGAGAAATAATCTGCTTATATATAACCTTTAGAGGAAGGATGTCTATTTTCAAAATTTTATAGCATTTCTTTGAATAAGGTTTGTAATAATTCATTGTATTTCTTGCCTCAAAATATGATATGGTTTTTTAACGCCACTATAGTATAGCTTTCTCGTCTCTTGTAAAGGTTAAATAAAATACAACTCTCATGTACACTGTCAGAAGAAAAATGATCACAATTATCATAATTTGTAGTTATTTTTTATGTCAACTATATGTTTTTTGATAGAACTATAAATATTATTATTACTACATTGAAAATTCCATTTGGTTGAATCATCTAATCTCTTGTTTGGCAAACAAATCCTTGGTTTAATTTAGTTGAAGTTGAAGAAAAAGTTTGGTTATTATAATATTTTACTTGTTTCTGATAACACAAGTAAAATTTTACAATAACCAAAATTTTTAATTATTTTATTGCATCAACTAAGGATTTGTTTGAAAGTTAAGTCAACCAAATGGAATTCTTAATGTAACATTATAGTAGTAATAATTATATATAAATGGAGTTCCAAATGGATAACCATAATTATTTTACAATTATAATAAATACCAAATATTTTTTTCCCAGTGTAAATATATCTTTTTTATTTTACGGATATACACAGAAAGGTGTTCTCGCGAACGCGATATCTCTCTTTTCCATCGGATCTCGCAAACAAAAATTTACTGTTAGCCACCCCCACTCGTCCTCGTCGCGTATTATGCGTCACCCTATAATACGCGTCTAGTTTTATGCCAAACTAGAGCGCGCCGTGCTAAAGATAGGTCGTTGCAGGCAGGAATCGGTGTGCATCCATTACCGGCGCAGGGAACAAGGGCGACCTTGGCCTTACGAGCTTATATAACGAGGAAGCGGCCGATTCATGAGCTCAGTCGTTTCGACGCGATATTCAAACCGATCGCGATCTACCAAACAGAACGCATTTCCGGATGCATTTCTCTTTTTTTTTCTCTTCGTATGCTCTATATCGATTTATACTCGAAACATTAGAATGCTCCTCGCGCTTTTCGCAAAAAGAGAACAAATTGCATCGCCAATGCATTACTGAAGCGTCTGTTGCTCATTTTCCACGCCAAAGATTTTCTTTTTTGCTCGAGCGCAAAATTCTAGTTGAAGCGTTTTTCCACGCAATTTCACAAGCCGGCTAATTGTAAATTAGCGGTCTCAGCATTCGAATTTTTTTCACGCTTTTTGCTGTGAAATTAATTTTCGTTCTATTACGATCGGAGACCACTCCACAACGTTGGAAACTTCCACGAGGTCGTTACAGAAAATGCGAACGACACCGCTCGAGATGGTAGTCGCTCGATCGGAAAAATAAAAGTGCCATTAAAGGAGCGCGCGCGCTGCTGCAACTGATCGACTGACCGGCGGCCGCAGTGGGGATCTCTCCGCCGCGCTGTGGAAAATCAACGTCTCTTCTTGGCAGAAACGGAGGTAGCCCGTGGGTGGCAGTGGCGGCACGACAGAGTCACAGAGATCGCGAGGCTCTTCCGCTTTTTTGACAGATGCGAGCGTCAGTGCCGCGCGACGCGTCGCAGTGCCCGTCAAGTGAGGTCAAGCATTGTTTACGACATTGTTTACGCAGTGTTCACCCGTTCGCAGTGAGTTACTCCGAAACGTGGTTGCAACAAGATTATTACGCGGAATTCGTATGACATTCTCGAAATTCGATATCTCAATTAGTAAATATTTTCTAAAAAAGAAATCAGTTCTTCTATATTAATTAATTCTTTTATGTCCATTTATATATATATATTGAGAAAAATATTTTAATTGTACCAATAAGTACAAACCAAATCAATTCTGATTATGCGAATCAGATTTCTGGTTATTATAATTGAGTTTCAACTATTAATTAATCAATATTACCTATTAATTAATTATAACTGGTTATTCTAAACTAGAATGATAAATTTGGTAGATTTAACTACATGTGTCTAATTTGTACCTTTCTTGTACAAATTCTTGAATTTATTAAAATTCCAATTAATGCAACAGACTTTTTTCCTAGTGTATCAATGTAGATTAACTTTAAATTTCGCATCAGATTGCTTCTCTTCTTGATGAAACAAACTGTAATGCTCACGAAACTTTAGTAATTAACGATGTATCAAGCTACGGAGATAACCTGTAAAGCTTATCTTACTAGCTTTGAACTTTAATCTAATTACTTTTCATCTTTTTGTAATTCTAAGAATTAGAAGAAGATAAAGAATAATATAAACCGATAAAGAATAAATTAAATTGAGATTAAAGTTAATCTACATTTATGGAAATGGAAATTAATCTTTTACAAAAAAAAAGAACACTTGAATACAAAATCTCATATTTCATCTGAGTTAGTTTCTTTTTCCAACAATTGCAAGTGATTCAAAATGTAACTTGTATTTCGTAATCTGTATTTAACTGCGTACCGACGCTGCTAAATAATAATAACGAATGTTAAAATTGGAAGAAGGATTAGGACTGATTTCTCGCATTGAGCGCGCATCTGTTGAAAAGCGAACTTAATGCGACCTTGGATTTCTTTATTATGGTTATAGTCACGCGTACAAGATCGCATCTGCTACGCAGACTAAGCTCGTTAGATATGCAAAAAATCTATTTGACTCTTTTTAGTTTGTTCCATGCAAACGACGTTACGTGAAGCTCGTTGGACAAAATATCTTCGGCGAAGAGTATCGTAAAGTCGTATTACTTTATAACGACATCGAGCGTGCGGCAAAATGCAGCAAAATCCTGACGAAACGAAAATTTGGCATTAACCATGCACTTAACGCCTCAACACTTTAGGTCCGCGTTTATTCTCTGACCATGAGATCATCGCAGAACTGACATAACTGGTGCGATACGCAAATAAAGCTGTAGTACAATAATTTATTCGCCGGTCACTCGAACAATATTTCATGCAAATCTTTATTATTATATTTTGTAACGTATTTTATCGAGATATTAAATTGTTTCGCATGTTTCTAGGGTTGAAACGATTCTGGCGAGCTCCGCCAGAAAAGTGAGAGCGGGTGAGATTACGCAATACCAACACTAGGTAAGTTTCCAGGTAAAGGGATATCCATTACAATATCATGAAAGCCTTCACACTTCGCTTTGAATACTGAATATCTCAATATTAATTAAATAATATAATAATAAATTAATATAGCAATTACATTTCACGATACTATTAAATAATCCATAAAAGTTTTAATTTTGAAAATTTCTAAAAGCATAACGAATTACATTCACACACACACACTTGCATAGTATGTTATATTTGATTTATACACGTTAGAACGGTTTTGCTAAAATATCTAAGAGATTAACTTTATACAGATCTGAAAATAATTTTGTTAGACCATCAAAATAATTAAGTAGGAGTTGGTTGGTAGAATGTAAAAACTTTTTGCAGCCGCTTATTACTTGAGCGTCCTACAGAATTATTTTGATAGCTAACAAAATTACTTTCGAATCTATCCAGTTAAATTTTTTGATACTTTAGCAAAATCGTTCTTTCCGCGTATATCTTGATTGATATTTTATAACGTCAATTTGTAACGTATTTATTTTATATAGCATACACCAATATCTAAATATAATTTCGAAAATAATTGTCGATATTTCATTAAAGGCGTTCCCTTTTCCAGGTGACCCACTGGCACGGCGATCACAAGGAAGGATGGTCAATTTGATATTGCTTCTTTGGGCGTTGGTCGGCCTAATTGGCCGAGTGCACGGCATATGCAACTTCACATCGATTGCCGACAACGATCGGTCGATCGCCTACGCGTGCAGCCACGTTGACCTGAGCAATCTCAACGAACTGCCCGACGAGACTGAGTGGATCGAATTCTCGGTGTCGCGCTTCCACACGATTCCCGACGACGCGTTCCACCGATTCTCAAATTTACGTCGCCTGTCTTTTTACAATTGCCACGTAAATTTGATCGAACCCGCGGCGTTTCGCGGCCTGAATCGACTTGACTGGCTGATTTTCCATGGCACGAAGATCCACGCGGTGAGGTCCGCGTGGTTCCGTCACGTGCCGAATATCAGACGACTGATCCTAGACAGGTATCGTTTTTCTCACAGTCTAATTATGAACTTGACAAAATTATGGTAAATTTTTTGTTAAAAAATGTTGTTTAAATGAAAAATATCAAGAGAACGAAATTCGGAAATACAAGAAACTATAGTTTTTTTTTACGTTACTTACATACTTCTACGGAAAATACACCAGTTATAAAACGTCATTATAATATAGAAATTATTAATTCTATTATTTTCATGAATTAAGAATCTTTTTGTTTCATTTGATCCGTGACAGTCGACACCACATTAGTAATTCATGCAAAATGTCATGGACAATATTGTCACAGCATCGCTATATTCATAAAATTCGAGGGATAGATCGAGGCCACGTGGTGCAGCAGCTTATGTAAAGCGTCCGGCAGTTATACATTCGGTAATGTCGATGACCCAGTTATTCGTTGCACCATTGCGATCGTGATGTCATTCGGTATCCAAATATTAGATATTAAACTCGATTAATGGAAATCTCAGAACTAAGCTCAGGGCCTGGCAAAAGTTCGATTCAAAAGATCTAGAAATCCGAAGAGCTCTTTAAGAGCTTTCAATGCCACTAAAAGAATATTTCCAATTACAATAATGAGATTCTTAATTATTAGGATCCTTTCAAAAATAACTCAAATTGAGTATAATTTGAATGACATTATGAATTTAACACTGAAGTTGATTATATCATGCTATTGCATTTAGATATCTGATATAAAACAGCCTTTAATGTGCACCTAATTCAGTGTAGTACGAGTGACCGAATTAACTGTAAGAACTGAATCTCGAGATTGTAAGCTAGATGGTTCCATTTTCCGATAAATCTCAGTTTACTCGCTCTCGTCCTCTCTGTCTCTCTTTCTCTTTCTTTTTCTTTCATCCATTAAATAAATTATCACATAATTTATTTAAAGGTGAAATAATCAGCCCTTAATATTTTTGCGTTTATTCCAGTTTTCGAATTTAAAGATCTCGACAGTTAGCTTATAGTATGACATATACTGTAATTCTCGTGATCTCAAGTTCGAAAACAGAAAAATTTCTAGCTGAAAATAAACAAACCAGCATACTCTGATCATATCACTCAGAATTTTGGTCATCATAATAATTGCGAGATAACATCTGGTTATCCCGACTACAATTTCGAATAGATTTAAGCAGAAAACTTTGATTTGTTCATTTTCTATCAGAATTCTAATTAATGCACCCAGATTCTTTTTCCAGTGCACAGCACATAAGGTACATCTCACGTTTCTTCTTCCAGATGCGGTCTGGTGCACGTCGAGCCTGACGTTTTTCACATGTTACCGCGACTGGAGACCCTGGACTTGCGCGACAATGACCTCGATTGTCTGTCGGTGGAGGAGCTGTCATATCTGACCGCGCTCAGGACCGTGCGCATTGACGGCAACCCGTGGTTGTGTGAGTGCCGGCTAAGAATGGAGAGGTTCTTTCGCGAGAGATCGATCATCCAAGAGATTGAGTGTAGATTTCGACCGAGGATCTGCACCGTGCATCGAAATACGCAGTGCATGACACAGATCGAAATACCGCTTCCACCTCCGACGACAACCATCGAACCGATAGATTTCGAGGTAAATCAGTCGTTTATAATTTAACAATGACGTAACATAGTTTAAATTTTTATCATATTTATTTTAATGTTCATTCTTACTAATGTATGTATGCCTTGGCCATAAGTATAATAAAGCATCTCCAACTTATTACATTTTCTTGGAGAAGGCGGTAATAAAATTATTATAAAAATAAATATTATTTTTCAATAAATCAGGGTTTTAATTTATTTTTCGTTAGATGCAGATAGAATGTATACATCAGTTTGTGGAGGTGCTTTGTACTTATAGTAAAGGTAGATTAACTTTAATTTTCATTTAACTTACTTTTTATCCTTTTCTAAATCTAAGTATTAGAAAAAGAAAAGAAAAAGAAAAATTAAACCGAGATTAAAATTAAATTACATTGGTAAAAATGGACATAAATACTTTTTTGTGTATATAAATCAGTTTTGTTTTAATCCTTTCGTTGCGAAAGTTTTCGGTCTATTGGCTATGGAAAATTAATATTTCTGATTCATATTCATTTTTTACGAAGGTAGATTGTTTTTAATCCCGGTAATTTACTATTTATCTTCTAGTTTTAAAAATTAGAACCAGTTTTGAAAAATAATATTTATTTTTATAACAATTTTATTTATTAATTCTCCTTTAGACTTTCATTACCGCATTTTTCAAGAAAATGCAATAAAGTGAGGATTCTTTATACCGGCCATGACTATTATGTAATTTATGAAATTTTACATTGATAGAACCGAATCTAAAATTAGAAAAAAAAACAAAAAGTAAGTTAAACCGAGATTAAAGTTAATCTACATTGGTAGAAGTGATCATTAGATCAATTCGAATTGAATAGCAGGAATTTGAGATCTTTGTGAGAGTATCCGAGTAATATTAGCTTCCTAAAACGTTGTCCGTGTCCGTTTTGCGATCTTATGAAATAAGCTGCAGCCACATCGAGTATCAATATACCGACAGTAAGACAATACGGCTCGAATCGAACCGTATTATTTTTTCATAGTGTCGCGTTTCAAGGAGCCCAAGCGCAATCTTAGGATGGAGCAGAAATGCCTTTGATCGTAACGTAATTACGTATCTGATAACATCGCACAATGTGTGTCGTGCAAACGTCTCACTATTCTATTGCCTAAAAAACCGGCCTTATCGAACGCGTATTATGGGTGAAAGTCAAAATTTAATGCTAACATTAGTTCGCGTATGATGACTAATTAAGAATTTAATTGCGCGTTTAACAACCATATAATGTCGTTGCTCTCGGGGTTTTTATTCTCCTTCATATTATCACACATGAAGGAAAGTCAGGCAATTAATATCTAGATAATTTAATACGAATATCAACGCGAGATATCATAAAAATATTTTGCTGCTCCAGCTAGAATTATAGCTGTTTTTTGTATCTGATAGAAAATTATATATCATACGCATAGAATTTATAGCACAAATCTAAATTCTATCTCTATCATCTATATGATTAGATGCAATACATATCCAATATTTGCTAGAAATTTATCTATTCCAGCTATTTTTCGTACTTGGATAATTTTCGCTGTAACTGCAAGATCACTTTTTTCAGTGATGTAAAATGCCGATGATATTTTATTAGAAATAATCAGATTTATTTGTAGCGCGGAAAATCAAGCGCTATCAAAAATTTATATTCTGCATATAATCATATATCACAAATTAATTATACAATTTCGATTCTCTTTTTCTTCGGTCAGTTATTTTGATCGATTTCCTGCAAACCACCATTTAAAAAATCCTAAACTAATCGCAAACTCGGCAATTTCGAGAAATATCAAGTTTATAAAAACGAAAATTTTCGCCTGGTGTAGCACAATCTGGTGTAGCTACAGAAAATCTTACACTCATCTTAACTTTCCGGAGCTGACGATGGACCTAATGAACCCATTCAATTATATTCTCTGTTATATTTGTAATCTTCTTGTTATATTTAAATGATTGATAAATTCTTCTTGTTATATTTGTAATCTTCTTGTTATATTTAAATGATTGATAAATAAATTTGAATGATTGATATTAAAATAAACTTATATTATTATTAAAATAAATTTAGTATTCACACACACACACACATTTTTTATACAGGTTATGTCATTTTGTAGAACTAATCTTCTACAGCAGGCATGACCTTTAGCTCCAGATAAGGATAAAATGATACTCAAAGGACTTGGGTAGTGTATTCGAACGCATTATTACAGTCCCCAAAATCTTACCTTATTGAATTCTTTTTCATAGATGGCTTTGACTTTGCATCTCGACTCCGGAGCTAAAGTTGAACATGCCTGTTCTGCAGTATTCAAATTCGTCGAAATTGTTATTGTTGTACTTCAACGCCCCTTCACCGAAAAAATAATTCAATAAACAAACAAACTCACCTTATCGAAGCACGGAATCGTGTTCTCGGTAGCACCACGACCAACCCTTGCGTGTTGTCGGACGTCCCCTCGGGTGCCGTTGTCCCCCTTCGACGGCTGCTTCCGGATTCCGGCGACGACGCGCGGCGTCGCCTCGCGACCGCCGAAAATCGCCCGCGACATGTAAACGACACGAACTCGCGACGGAAGACGTCACAAGAGGAAAAACGTCCGTTTCCGGACGACGCGACGCGTACACAGGTCCACTCCGACGAAAACCGCGCGCGACATATGGCGGACGGACGCACGAATCACGTGACCCGCGCGACGCGATTGTTCGAAGACGCCGGGCTTCCTTCCGCCCAGCCCTAAGGGCGGTTACCAGCCGACACGCAATCCTCGAGCGACCGACGACGAGCGTCCCTTCGTTGACGTATGTTCCATCCGCGAGATCACAGGTGCAGAAACGTTGGAGTTCGTTTCGGCCGACGTAACGACTCGATCGTCTCGAACGCAACTCTCAACTCAAGTGAAGTTCGCGCGAGTCGGGTCACGTGACTCTCGAGGCTATTGCCCTGATTGGTTCACCGTGGGATTGACGAAAAATCGCGCGCGCTACGCAATCGACGCGCGGCCGATACGAGTCGCGTAGGAAGCAAAGATTACCGCGATATCATTGACGTAATTAGTGTGATTAACTCCGTTCCGTCATTAGGTCCTTGTTGGTAATCACGTCTACGAATTCGCTCGGAGACTCGTGAGGAGGAGAAGCAAACCTCGAGTTTCGGTTGACTATCGTGGCCGATGATAATCGAAAACAAAACGATAAAGATAATATAACATGAACTGTATACATAATCGAATACAATGGAATTTTTCATGTAACTTTTCCCCTAGTTGGAAAATGTGAAAAGTAAAAAATTTCTCCGTTATCTTCAATGTTAAAAAAATTTCACTTTCACGTTTCTATCTCTTCAACGGCACACGATATAAATTTTCTTGCACGATTGCTGGCATTTTAGTAAATTACTGGAAATTATGCGTTGTATAATTCTAGTGCGTGTGGTATAGTTCTAGTAATTTATTAGAACGCGACTAATTCAGCAAGAAAACGTGCATCACGTGCCGCTGGCTTTAGCCAGTTTAACTCGATCTATGATAAGCGTAGTAAGTCTTTAGTCTTGCTGTAAGCTCTAAGATCTGTTCTTTATCGATAAACTTTCTGAACTGATGTACATCGATACAGTAAGAAGACTGTACAAATTATATTTATTTCACTTCAATTTATTGCGCCGAGTATGTACATCAATTCAGAGAATTCTTCGATAAAGAATAGGTTTCTAAACTGATGTTTTTTCGGCAAAGAGTATTTTCGACACTATCTTTAAGAAATAATCCCTAAGTTTTAAGCGAGCAACTCAAGTATTTGTCTCAATCATCCCAACTATAAAATTTAACTTTTACTGGACGGGAAAGCCACTGTAGAGGCACTGAAACAATATTATATATGAAGCAAGGAGTACAATGAAATATATAACAAAATTATTAATAAATTATAATAAATCTTACTCAGAAGAGCTGTAAAATTTAAAAAATAAACCTCCGCTATCTAAAGTTTGAAGCTTAGGGCAAATTAATTAACATTACGACTTGGAGCAAAAGGTTGAAGTCTTGCTATTGTATATCAGAATTTAAATGTTTCTACTAATGTAGATCATCTTTAATCACAGTTCTCAACTTGCTGTTCATCTTTTTCTAATTCTTGGTCCTGTTTCTATTAATGTAGATTAACTTTAATCTTGGTATAACACACTTTTTATCTTTTTCTAGTTAGAAAAGAATGTAGAGTAAATTAAACCAAAATTAAAGTTAATAATACATTAGTAGAAATAGAATTATGTCCCTTCCTATCAATGTAGATTAATTTTAATCTCGGTTCAACGTACTCTTCATCTTTTTTTAATTCTTAGAACTAGAAAGAGATGAAGAGTTAATTGAATCAAGATAAAAATTAAACTACATTGATGAAAATTGGCATTAGAACTAGAAAGAGATGAAGAGTTAATTGAATCAAGATTAAAATTAAATTACACTGGCAGAAACGGGTATTAGAGGGAAAAAGTTACATGATTGCTACCACCCAGCACGAGCGGGTACGCTCACCTCTCTGTCGCGATCGGAAATTGCGATCGCGCGTCCAGATATTCCAGATATCTTATCCCGCTCGTTCTCTCACGCAGGAACGTTCCGGCAACCGCTTCCAGATAAGCGCGTTGACGTCACTGGACCGTCTGCCGGACAGGACTACGTGGATTCAAATCGTGGGTCTGGGGATCGACCGTTTGCCCGCGTACGCGTTCTTCCGTTTCGGCAACAGCCTGCGCAGTCTGGATCTGCGGGATTGCTCGATCGGCGCGATCGAGCCGGGCGCGTTCGCCGGTCTGCATCAGCTGCAACGGCTCACGCTCGTCGGCAACCGGCTGCCCGCGGTTGCCGCCCATTGGTTCGGCGATCTCGTTGCGCTCCGCCAATTGGTGCTCGCGCGCAACGGCATCGAGCACATTGAGCCGGATGCTTTGCGCCCACTCGCCGGCAACTTGCGCCATCTGGATGTGCGATACAATCGACTTCGTTGCCTACCGTTGGACGAGCTGGCACATCTGAGGCACCTCGAACGACTTGACATCATCGGGAACCCGTGGTACTGCGAGTGCCGCAGGAATCTGCAAAGATACCTGATGGATCGTAACGTGGGATTTGACATCACCGCTGATCGCTGTTACGAAGAGAACGAAGTTATTGAACCGACCGACGGATGGCAACACCCGCAAGTAAGTAGCCAGTAAGTAGCGGGCTGGCGGTATTCGAAAGAAAAATGTAAATGAATTTTCCGAGGATGGATGAAAATTCTTTATCCTCAGGAAACACGATTTGAGTAGCTCCATATATCGTTTTATTCTTCTTTAATATTTGATGAACAAGGATAAAATGAAGGCAATTCAGGTAATGTTTCCACGTAGCTTCGAATGAAGAGACGAATTCTTTCTGATTTTGAGGGCGTTTATTTATTTTTTATGTGATGTTTTTTTATGCATTTGTTTTTTTTACGCGCTATAAACTGCAGTTTATCTTCCTTTCGAATATAATGAGCGATAAAAATAGAATAAAATTTAGATCCGTATTCATAATCGTAGATCCCACGATTGTTCTCATTTCAAGCGAGCTAATCTTTGAACCTAAGTTTGAACTAATCAGATTTATTAAATCGTGAGAATTTTTCAGATGAAAGACTGATGATTCAAATCGGATTTCAGGTTGAATCACTACATTCCACGACTATGGCTACGGTCGAGTTGCCGCTGCGAATGCTTCAAAGCATTTGATTGACCAATTGGAAGAAAGAATTTTACTAATCGACCAATCAAAAATACTTCGAAGCATTCATAGCAGCAACTCGACTGCACCCTATAAATACGACTCATAGGGTGCGTGTGTGTCAAAACCAAACGCACCCTTTATGAAATACTAGATTTGTTTGCGTTGTATGCTGTTGCATGCTTCAACATGCTCCAACATGTTTCTACCATAACATCTATTCACTCCAATGTGCTTACTAGGGTAGAATTAGATATGGTAGGAGCATGCTGTTACCCCTATAGAAATTTAATCCTTACCGTACAAGGTCGGGTCACTAATGACCGAGCGATTCCTGTTTGTGGACGTTTCTTCGAGTCTTTCGGAGATTACAAATTATACTACATTTTATTATTTTCCAAAATAAAGTTTCAATATTTATTCTAGAAAGTTGAAAATATATTGGTGAATTTTTAGAGATTTTTTTTAACCATTCTGAATAGGTGAAAAAAACGAACGGATTCTAGTGACCTATATTTGGACGGATGAGACACCAAATTGTACCTTGTATAATTGTAAGGGTTAATACTAATATTAGCCAATTAATCGCTTATTTTCAATATTAAAAGTATTGTTAACGATACTTTTAACTGGAAGTTATAAGATTAATGCAAAATATTATTACGGGCACCAGTATCCGTTTTGACCGAATATGACCTCTTTCGCTTATTTCTCGGTCGATTTTCACTTATTATTGTTAAATTAATTAATTAATTAGTAAATTAAAGATGAAATTTCGCGTATAAATTTATTTGCGTTATTTAATTATCTTATAATACTTTTGTTAAATATTAAGACAATCGAATTTGAATTTCATTGAAATCTATTTCGTATTTATATATTTCTTTATAAAAAAAAATGGCTCTCGGAAATTTATTTTGTAAAATCTTAATATTTACCGAAAATAAATCAAACAAATTTTATTTACTGATGAGAAGTAAAGTAGGAAATTCGAGATGGCTTCTTGAACTTGGACATTCCTATAGTCCTTTAAGCATTCTTAATTCCGAGAAGTGTTGGTTCCATATGAAAGCAGCTGATTCATATTTACGAAATACTTCTCTCTTTAGGTTCCATTCCCGAGGTTTGTCTCATATTGACTTTTCAACATTTCTACTTAGGAGACAATATTGTTTCCTTATACATATTATAATTAAAATTTAAGAAATTTTCTAAAAAATTATAGAATTGTACAGAAATTCTGAAATTTTTTAAAATTCTGAAAAATTATGTAAAGAATTCTGAAAAAAATGTCACTAAGGTGGTACACTAGGGTGATATTAAAGATTTAAATAGCTGGTCTCTCAGTGTAATTGTAATTTATATGCTCTCCAGACATGGAAACTAACACTGAGATATAGATTTAAGCTTGGCGATATATATGTCGTCTTTTAAAGCGACCACTTGTTGCATATTTGCGCATTGTTTTCGACTGGTTAGCAAAATTTAAATGAATCACAATTATACAATTACACTATTTGATTAATCTCTAATGCTACCTCTGTTGAAAATTTTTCTTAGAATTCACATAATTATTCAGAATTTTTACGTAAAGTTTAGATTTTTTTCAGAACTTCTATACATATTATAATTTATTTTATAACTTATTATTTTATTTTACGATTTAAAAAAAAATTCTTAGATCATTTATACAAATTGCAACAATTTTTAGAAATACTGAGAAAGTCTAAAAATCTTTTCCAGAATTCTTCATAAATTCTAAAATATTCTAATATTTCTGAGATTTATCATTCTATATAATTTCTGAAGAAAATTTATCATCTCTCACGAAAAATTTATTCAGAAATTATTTCTTTATAAATTTTAAATGTAATTCTTAAAAATTCTTAAAAATTGTAAGATGTTACGAGAATTTTGTTTCACCAGGATTTACCAAAATTATTATATTTATCTAATCTCTTTTTAGGTAACGACTCCGATTACCCACGGTCACGTATATTGGACCACTTTCGATGACACTTTGAGCCAAAGAAACATCACTGTAATAAGACCGATCGGTGAAGTTCCCACAGAGAGACCGGTTCACAGGGGTACTTGCGTACGAGACAAGACTCAAGTGTCGCGGCAAGTTTTCACGTGCAGCGGCATCACCGAGCTCACCGAGCTGAATGTTTTACCTCACTCAGCCCACGCCATTCGCATCGTTCTTTCAAATCTGAAAACGATCCCAACGCGAGCGTTTGCCCGCTTCGACGGCTGGCTGTCCCAGCTAGAATTACGCGATTCCAATATCGAGACGATCGAGCATCGCGCCTTCATCGACCTGCATAATCTGGAGCGCTTGTCACTGCACAGTAATCAGCTGAATTCGGTGACATCCGAGGCATTAGAGGGCCTCACAAATCTACGATACCTGGACCTCTCGCGCAATCACATCTATCGTATTCCCAACGAGGTCATCGACACACTGCCGCAGCTGCACGTTCTGGATGTATCCGAGAACTACATGAACTGCCTCGGCGTAGAGCATATGGCGCGCAAGATGCCGCATCTGTATTCTCTCAAAGTATCGGACAATCCATGGAGTTGCCTGTGCGGCATCAAGCTGGCCAGTTTCCTAGACTCTCGCAAGATACCGTATAATCGCGATTCTCTATTTGACGTGAACGACGACTGTTATGTCACCACGTTGCCGACGACGCCTCCCACAACGGCAGTGACAACTTACACCCCATTGCGAACTACCACGACCGAGCCACCCTCGATAGGCTTCTACAACGAGACCTTGGAAGGTTCCTGCTTTAAAATTCCTGAGTCCACGGAACCACGATATCGCTGTGTGGGTGGCAATCTAATATTGCTGAAAAACGTACCACACAACGCCGTTTACATCGAATTCTACGAGGGTCATTTGCCCGTCCTGCCGGCCAATGCTCTCTACAATTTTCGAAAATTGCAGGAGCTAATCATCAGGAACTGCGGTCTGAGAATGATCTCGCCTGGCGCTTTTCGGGGTCTGGACTCTCTGGAACGGCTCACCATTCAGAGTAACCCAATGACGTCGATTGAGGCGAACTGGTTCAACATAGAACGTCTCGAACGACTGGATCTACGCGGTAATTCAATCCGCTACATCGCACCGGGCGCTTTCCGCCATCTGCGCAGGCTGGTCTACCTGAATCTCGAGGGCAACGATCTGCAGTGCATCTACACCAGCGATTTTCAGGATATGCCAAATCTGCACATCGTCGAGTTTGCCGGCAACCCGTTGAAGTGGCGCTGTCGCATGGATCTGGAGCAGTTCCTCGAGATTCAGAAGATTAAGTTCGTTAAAGTGGAGAATTCGTGCGAGGGCAAGAAGATCATGAAAAATCTTCTTTATCAGAATCGGACTGTCGAGCTGGAATGTCCACCGGGTTGTTCGATGGCGAGCAATATCGAGCTGGAAAAGAGCTCGACATTGGCATTTGTATTGTTCTTCGCGATACGGATGTATTAGTTGTTTGGCAAATAAGAACAAAAGTAAGACCAGAATTAAGATACTCAAAGACCTTGTCTTACAACAAGTGAAATAGTTTTTGAGGTTCAGTCATCATTGGAAGAATTAGGAAAATTACATTCGGATATTAAGCAATAATATATCGGTACAATTCACGAAACACAAACTAATAATGTAACATTACATCAAAATTATAATTTCCCATTTACAACATAAATGTAATATAACACTTGTTATACATAACAGTTATGTACATTATTGAGTAGGAAATTATAATATATTGATGTAATATTGTTAGTTTGTGTTCCGCGAAAATATATAGATGTGGTAGTGATTTTGATAATCAACGGAGTTCTGAAAGTAAAGTTGCCTTTGTAGTAGGCGAGGATAGATTTGGTATTGTTAATGTTGTCATTCAATGTGTTCATACCGCGAAAGCGCTTATAAACTAATAAATACGTATATTTATTTTTTTGGAACGCATATATATATTTATAACTTATAACTTTAAACCCTTCGAAGTTCTCGTAATATTGCGTATTAGATAATATCATACATGTACATAGGATAACGCTTCTCGATCTCTAGATATTTCGTTAAATTGCTTAGATTGTTAGTACCTGTTTGTCGCACGCTGTACAATTATGGACATCGTCGTCATATCAGAAATATTGCAATTGAAATGCAATAAAGTATCGACGAAAAATTGCAAAAGAAACTTAAACCAACTTCAACCAAACTTTGCTTAACTTAATTGGATTAATTTAACTGGCAGAATGACTGTTTGGAATACAATTTCTAATTGTATAATTTGTTGAGTCTAATTTAATTTTTTGTTCTATTCCTAATGAAAAGAATTTCTCATAATATCATAATATTTTTAAGAATTTTTCATATTTTGACCTTATAAAGATCTTTTTTAATAATAATCTTAAATTTCTTCAGATTTTATATTCTTCGGAAATTATAGAATTGAGAAATCATAGAATATGTAAAAAAAATTTGTTTATATAAAGAATTCTTGAAAAGATGAAGACTTTTTCAGCATTCTAAAGTGTTCCAATTCGAATAAGTATCTAAGAAGTTTTCTAAAAATTTGAAAATTATATAAAAATTCTAAGAAGAACTGTTGCCAGGGATATAAACAAGAAAAAATTAACAAAATTCATATTACGAAGCATAGATAATACTAGCTAAATTAATTATCAACTCAAATGACGAAATCGATCGACAAAATTGCTTGAAGCAAAGTTCTTAACAGCAAAAAATTAAAAATTCTCTATCCGTCTAAACACAGATATCACTTAATAAAATGATCACTGATTAAACTAATCGGCAAAATTGCTTCGTACAGTTTTTAACAAAAAATTTATAATTCTAGCCGTATTAACAAAATAGCATGGATATTACGTGATAAATTGATTACTGATTAAATTAATCGGCAAAATTGTTCGAAGTAAAATTTGTAACTGCGTAATTCGCCTTTCCTAATCTAATCCCTTTTTTTCTAAGATTACACAATAAAAAAAATAACAATATCTATATTAATTAATTATTAAGTTAATCAGAGTTTGGTTGGTCATCCATACTGCCGGTAGGGACCATCAATAAACGACCATCCCGGACAAATGTGAACAATGAAGAAAGTTACATTGGACATTGCGTTGTAAACGCGTATAATTTATTATATCAACAACAATAAACATATTCACGTGCCATAAAAATCTGTACTAGTGCGACGCTAAAAAAGTACTTCTTATTGGTGTTCATTTTAATATAAAAAAAACGATTGTACATAATATATTTACTGTCAGGATGTAACGAGCTATTTGTTACTAAAGATGTAATGAGCTTTAATAAAGATTTATTTTGTGCAATAAAATTTCACTTTCGTCACTTTTTTATATTAACTGATTTTTTTCATCTATAATTATTTATGCTATTAAATTTTAAACATTACAATATCAAAAATCATACAAGTATTGATTATTACTGTTTACCCATGACTTTATGTATTTATTAAATGAACAAAATATCAAGTAGCCCGGCTAGCTCAGTCGGTAGAGCATGAGACTCTTAATCTCAGGGTCGTGGGTTCGAGCCCCACGTTGGGCGAAATTACTTTTTATTTTTTTTTATAATAAATTTATTTTTATAATAAATTTAATGCTTACAATATTTTTCTCGATTATGAATCGTTAAATAAGACAAAAATATAGTTTTCATAAATATAAAAGAATACAGGATGTTTCATTTTAACAGAAATAATTGCATATCTTTTAAATTTGACGTTGTATAAAAAAAAATATTTCAGACAAAAGTTGTATTATTTGAAGGAAGACAAATAATGATAAAATTAATCTTCCAAATTGCCCTTTTTTGAATAGAATTGTATGATTTTTTACACATAAAATCTAATATAATATATCCTTTAAATAAATAAATAAAAAAAATAACACAAAATATATATAATGAAAAGCTAAGTATATAAATAAAAAAATATATAAAAAACTTTCTGTACAAAAACAGTAAAGTTCGCTTTAGCAGAACGTGGTTTCGATCCACGGACCTCTGGGTTATGGGCCCAGCACGCTTCCACTGCGCCACTCTGCTTTTTTGAAATAATTTTTGTCTAACTTGTTCATAGTTCAGTAACATCATCAGTAAACTAAATTTTTATCTAAATCGTATAATTTAATTATAACTTGATTTTTATCATTAAACCTATTAATATAATTAAATTAATTTAATACGTAATATATATATATTTTTTATAGCTATTTTAATAGATTTTTATTGTTAATATTTTTTTATAGATCTTTTTATTATTTTATTTGTTTATCGCTTTAATTAAAAAATATAAAATTGTTATTGTTTACCACGAAAGAAACTTCTCGAAAAATCTATTTCTAAAACGTCAAAAATTTTTTAACACAGACATTACATATTTCGAGAACATTGAGGAAACAAGAATAAAGAGATCTTTCGAAAAAGTGTAAAACAAAAGAATTATGAAAAGTGAGATAAACATGGTACGTAAAATGACGACAAACTGATAAGAAAGTAATTTTGATACACACAATAACCTCGTAATAGAAAATCTGAAGAAGACATAGGGTTTCTCAGTAGGAATCCTCTTTTCGGACATTTCACTTCTCCATTTATTTAAAAATTATTAATTCTGACTCATTGTTTGCTGCACGTAGAAGGGCACGGTTATTATATTCTATAGAAGGACAATCGCCAACCGAATTTCGTCAGACGGAATTTCAAGAGACTGAACAATTCTATCAGTATAAGTCACCAGTTCCGTGACTCACGGACCGTCGACTCAGGTCCAACGACTCAGCAACGAGGCTTCAATGCGACTTAACAAGCACGAACCTGCACGGTTTAGTCTAGGCTGGTTGGGGAATGCCCGACACCGGATGCCACGTGTGTCCGCGTATTGCTCGCCTCGACGCGGACAATCGATAAAAAGACGCTAACAAAACCGCGAAGGCCGCTCGCGAACATAACGTACACACGTTAGATACGTCCTCCTTGCGATTATAGTTACAACATTGTGGGAAACGTTAATGAGCGACGATGGATCTAAATAGGATATAGAAGTTATAATAATATTATAAGAATATCATCGTGACCTTATTTTGTCAATTATAGATGACAAATGAAGTCATAATGATATCCTATGGTGTCATATTATTATGATTTCGCAGAAACTAACAGTATAACGTTGCATGTTAATATTATAATTTCCTACTCAATAATGCAACTGTTATGTACATATAATATATGTTATATTACGTTTATATTATTAAGGAAAATTATAATATTAATGTAGCTAATGTTAATATTATTGTAGTAAATTCGATTGGACATATTCAGTGCATCTTTGTGCATATATTAAAGCCGTCGTACACAAATTAATGTAAAGATGTATGTTTAATATAAATATAAAAATCGGTTAAACCGTGAAATCTTCAATATATTTTAATGTGTTGTTAAATAAAATATATATTGTATAATTTGAAATATTTGCACTTTTATTTGTCAGATTTAAATCAGTGTATAACTTTAATATGTATTAGTTTCAACGAATTCACTATTAGTTTGTGTTCTCCAGGACTATGTCTTCTTATACCTAGACATATTAAGCCTATTCTACAATGTACTTTTTGTTTTCTGTTTTTTGTTTTTTGCTATTTTTTACATCTTATCTTTTTGTTTCTTATCCGGTTTTTTGTTTTATGCCGCCCAAGATAAAAGTTAACGAACTTCGGAAGAAACAGGAAACAGTAGCAAGAAATACAATTGTTGTTAAAACGATCGCAAAGGGAGGAAAAAAGTAAGAGGTAAAAAGCAAAAAATAGGAAACAAAAAGCATATTGTAGAATAGGCTTTATATCGCTTTATACAGCAAAACACAACTCTAGAAACAGTTTTCTAAAAAATAAGTTTAAATATTTCGAATCATTAAAATTTTTAATTTTAATGTTAAAATGCAATTTTGATATACTAATTAATTGTAGAGGAATAAAAGTATGTAGTGTTTTAAATTTTACATTTTTTCTCCAGCATATACACGAAATAATGATTTTTTAATTATGTTGTTATTGTAGCAAATGAGCGATATATATGCGTGACGAATAATTCACGATTGATATTTGCGCACGTAAGATTACACAAGCATTTTTATCGTGTCTGTTTTTCTATCACCGTTTTATTGCAAAAAAAGAACCGGATATCCAGATGGATACGATGAATTATCGATGTGAATACGGAAAAGTATGACTTGCGTCTCATTTTCGTCACGATTAGAAGGCATTTTTGTTTGTTCGATAACGTTGGAATTTGAACTTATGTTAGAGAAATTATATAACGATTTGTAATATTTGTATCCGCGATTCTGTTTTTCAAGAATTGAGCGACGTCTAGATTCGCGCGCCCTTTGCGCGAACCCTTCGAATTCGCTCGACCAATGAGAGATCGAGCTGAATAACCGGAAATTGTCTGTTTGTAAATTTACAAACGGACAAGTCTAAATATGGACGGATCGTGCGATCGCATTTATTTATTCGTAACGCAAATGCCAACTTCAATAACGTTAAACGCGGATGTAAAAAAGACGCGAGTGATAGTACGACATTGATATAATTCAAGATTTATGACATAGTATGCTACATATGCTTATGGAAAATAAATATAACGCATAGTAGCCTTTTCTTCCTATCTTAGCCAATAAAACACAGGTGGCGCTGACAGTGCCGTTCAATACGCTTGCAACAGGAAGTCGAACTGGGAGACGTGCGGATTATCGATTTAGGACCACTTTTACCAACTCCGATTAACTTAATCGGACCGATTAGTCCATTGGAATTGGCCAATCGCCATCTGTCGTCAAACAAAATGACAAATGCGATTGGTCAATTCCAATGGATTAATCGGCCGATTAAGTTAATCGGAGTTGGTAAAAGTGGCCTTTACTATTGAGAACAATCTCGAATTCTTTTCGGAAAAAAATCTGCAAAACGTATTCTTTTGAACGAGAGTCATCCTCATCTTTTTTTCTCAGTCCTTTTGTCGCGATCGAAACGCTAATCGCCGCGTGACTCGCAGCTTGATTCACGTAGTGCGACCTAACAGTCGGTTCGCGACTGGCGGCGACCATCTTTTCCGAGAGAATGACGCAATCGATGACA